GTATACTCCTGTTTTGCTCATTTCATAGATCAAACAGGCACGTACAGGTTGTTTTCCCTAGAGTTACAGAACTAAGTGGTGGAACTGTCATTCATACTTGGCTTATTGGACAACTTTAGGAGAACCCATGATCTTAACTGCTGCAGTGGAATAATGACATGTCACTTCAGTAAAAATTGTATCAAAATAGTTTCCTGTTACTGGTAAATGTTTCTTTAGGAGAATTCATATGCAGCTATACAAATATGATTAAGAAAACAAATCAAATTTCAGGAATTGGAACTGTTTATTAGATTATGAACACATGTATGAGTTTAAGTACCTAAAAAGATATGTATCCTTCACCTTTAAACCTCAACAATCCTTATATTCCTAAATTTGCCCTTGATTGGGCTGATGGATTCAATTTCTTCTTTCCATTATTCTCCCATTAATGGATTACTGATAAATTCTTTACAGCTCTCACTTAGGTATATCACTTAGGTGAGCATCGCAAGAACCCACCCCCTGGCTTGCTCTTTTCAAAAGCCAGCGTTCTCCCATGAACACGCACCTGGCTTGCTTTTCTCTCTGTCTCTTTGCTTGTTTATTCCCACTCTGGAGAAGCCCATGTTCTCTCTCAAACACGAACTTCTCTCCATCTCTCCCTTTACATCTTTCTAAATAAGTTTCGGTAAAAACTATCTTGATTCACAGAAGAAAAAGTGGAGGGGAGGGTTGGAAGGGGGGGAAGGGGGGGAAGGGGGAGAAGCGGGGGGGTGCCTGCTTATCCCACATGCTGAAGAGAGCCCTGGCTCTAACTGAAGAAAAGGAATGAAAAAGTTTTGGCCAGTGAAAGGAGAGAGTGTCAGAACAAAGTGGCAATAAAAATATTGTAGGAAATAAAGAAACAAAAGACAAAACAATCCTACTTCGGTGGATCTGAAATTCCTCTTACTCAAATGACTGCAATCCTTTGGGGTTGATAATAGAGATTCTCTTACTACTTGTTGTAATTTTCAGATATAAATACACTGTACTTGTTTATTTTCAAGTTTATTAAAAATGCTGTATTGGAACAAGTTTTTTCCAAATACTGTCACTGTCACAGTCCTCCCGTTGTTCGTCGATTTGCTCGAGCGGGCCCAGTAACGTCTCCATTGGAGACTTTGTTGTTACTGTGTCTGGCATATCGAATACTCTCGGTAGCTTGCCGGGCTCTCCGAGAGGGCCGGAGGAATCGAACTCGGGTCGGCCATGTTGGCTGCGTGCAAGGCAAACGCCCTACCCCTGTGCTGTCGCTCCAGCCCCTTTTCCAAATAAAGATGCCTATTTTTTAAAAGGCTGATTGTATGGAGTCTTGCATATTATAAAAGTTTTGGACAGTTTTAGTTATTTATGTATATCTGATTGACTTTATTAAATGACTTCTCAATCAGGAATCAACAACCATTTGATATTAAACCAGAATTTAAAGTCTGGAAAGATTAACTTTGCCTTTTTCCCCCTCCACTTAATGATACCTTTGAGCAGAGCATTTTCCCAATGAACCTGCTGTGCAAAGTGTCTTTTTTGTAAAGAGGGGCCTTGTCACCCATGGTACCTACTGAGAACATCCTTAACTTTGGTGAAGTAAAGTCATATTTTAAACCCTTCCCTGGAAGGGATGAAATACTCAGAATTTGGCCGCATTTCATTTCTGTCAGGCTAGTTCTTAAGTCACATACAATCTAATTGGTGGTGACAGCTTTTTCCACTACTTCTTACTCTTCATATCCTCAGGGAAAATACTATTATGTTCACCCCGGTGCCTAGCATAGTCTATAAAAATGGCAGGCAATCAGGAACTGTTTGATAAATTGAGGTCTCATTACTCAGACCTTATAAAACATACCGTTTATCTATGCAGACAGATATGGAAAATCCTCAGAGCTATAAGACATCAGAAATACTGCCAGGGGAACTGATTGATAGCATATAAGGCATACTACTACATTAAAATAATTATATTTAATGAATACAAATAGTATTTTTTTATATCACAAAGGGGTTTTAGGTAAGAGAAATGTTTTCTATTCTGGCACGATGGATAAAACCACATGTTTTACTTTCTGTTGAAATCTTGTTTATAAATAGTTATCATAGTATAAGAAACACTTTTAAATTATTGCCCAGATTTGAGTATTGGAACATTGCATATAGCAGTTTTGCTTTTGTTGAAAACTCAGGTTGTTGGAAAATCCAAACCAACTATGGATATCAGAAACTGCCCGTTCTAGAAAAGATTTTTTAAAATGCATTGACTGCAGCAAAAGAGACTTTATGGGGAGATGGCAGGAATGGCCTCTCATCATTTTCTTGATCCCTGCATTGTTTTTAACTTACCAGTAAATATCCCATATCAGAGTATCAGTGAATGAATTGCTCAGTTTGCTATTAAGATACTTAATGCTTATCTTTTGTTAACTTTTGTATGAAGTGCTTTCCTTGGACCTGCTCATGTAATCTTCGGAAAAAGGCATGAATGAATTTATTTGTTATATATATATATATATATGGAAACTGAGGTACAGATAAATTAGGTAACTGCTCAGATCACATAGTTTGTAATTGGAATAACCAGTATATAACTAGAAGGAATTCAAAGGGACTGACTTCAAAGTTCTTTCTCATTTTTCTTAATTGTAGTTATAAACAATGCTACTTGTTATAAACAATGTTATAACAATACTACCTTGCATGATAGTATATATCAAGTGATATAACACAATGAAATATCTACAGGATTGCTGGAAAGTAGCTGTTTAATAGCTGGTAACTAAAATTAGTAATAATTTCTACTAAAAGCTGTCATAATTCTAAGAAGATATTGAAAAATTTTTATTTTATGTTTTCTTTATTAAACCAAAAAAAACTTTGAAAGTGGGCCTGGAGAAATAGTACAGTGGGTAAGACTTGCATGCAGTAGACCTGGGTTTTATCCCTGGCTTCCTATATGGTCCTCTGATCTCACAGGCCTGGAGTGATCTCTGAGTTACTCAGAGCCAGGAGTAGTAAGTCCTGAGCACAGCTAGGTGTTGCCCAAAAACAAAAACAAAAAGAGCTTTGAAGGCAAGAATTATTGAGCATGAATAGGAACAGATTATAAATTACTCCCCATTGGCTAGTGAATCTTGAGAGTATTTTCACCTGTAAAAAATGGGAAGGACTGGGGATATACTTCAGTGGTAGATGACTTGCCTTGCATGCATCCTGCGTCTGATAGCCAGCACCATCATAAATTAATTTTTTTAAAAGAGAGTGGGAGAGGTAAATCAAGCTGTATCTTGAGGAAGTAGACTATGCTTCACATTTGCCATTTTTATACACTTATTTTCATCCTCACTCTGTGGCATTGGGTGACTCTTACACTTTACTTTCTAATGGTTGCTCAAAAAGCCATCAGAATTCAGATTAAATGTACATTTATTTTAAATATAAGGTTACACAATTCAAGGACCAGAGCGATAGTAATGGGAGCAGGTCATTTGCCTTGCACAGGGCTGAACAGGGTTGAATCCCTAGCCAAACCACATGGTTCTCCAAGCCCTTCCAGGAGTGATCCCTGAGCTCCGAGCCAAGAGTAAGCCGAGTACTACTAGGTGTAGCCCCCAAATCCTAAAGAATCAAAATCTGAACTAGGGATTTCCCACATTGAGGTGTGAAGAGTTTTAAGAAATTTATAGTTACCAAGGAAGTTATCGATGCATCTTTTTTTTGTCTCACTGATACTCATATGTGAAGTCAGTACTTTAGAATTTTTTAAATCCTTTTAATTCTGTATATTTTTTTGTTTCCTTTCTTTACTGCTTGGTAAAACTGGGAGTATGTATAGTTTCACTTTTTAGGACTTTATATTTGCATGCAATCCAGGAATAATTTCACACATTAATTCTATACAGCGTTCAAATAAAACTTCATATCCTTCCCAACCTAAAAATTCTGAAACTGAATCTTTCTACAAGAGCCCTGTATTAAGTTTAAAATGCAGTAGGCTGTCATCTCCTTACTATTTTTTTACTCATTAAGAAGTGTGAGTTGATTTCTTTGTGAGAAGCTGGTCACTCCTAACACAAGATACTCCTCTGAGATCCGAAAAACAAAATATGAATATGCCCACTCCCTCCCCAGGACAAAGCACCTAGGAGCAGCCAGTGAGTGACACAGTGACCGACTTGCCCTATGCCGGTCTTGCTGCTGTGTAAGGCATGTGCTCAGAATCCTTGTTTCTGTCGCTGACTTCATGACATGAGTTTGGAATGACAGTCATGACACAAACACCAAAGTGCTTGCTGTGGTCTGCTTCAACGACTCAGCACGCGCTGGCTCGCTAAGTAGCTTTCAATTTTCCCATCTTTAACCTGTTACGGGATGCTCGGCTGCGTGGGCCGGTGCTGAACTCGGTCAGCCAAATCTGACCGAAAACAATGGCTCTGCGGCACGCCTCGGAGCTTAGTCCATTGCCCTGAGCCTGGGCTCTGACTGCCCAAGGTGGAACGGTGGCCAGGAGGGGACCCGACAGTCGCCGCTGGTCCTGCTTTCCAGCAGCAGGGTCTGCCCTTAATGTCCAGGGCGGGTCAATCACCTCCAGGTACAAAGGAAGGTGACACAGGGAAATTTGGGGCCGGGTCTCCGCAGGGTCCTCCCCATTGTCCTCTCCACCTGGTCTCCCACCGGCCCCGTGGGCTCCTCCCGGCGGGGCAGCGGTTGGGACCCTCCGGCCGACCCCGAGCCTGGGACGGCCGGGTGGGCAGGGAGCCGGCTCGGGCCGGCGGTCCCCCCGCCCGCCCGCCCGCCGGGCGTCCGCGTCCCGTTCGGGCTTTGACAGCTGCGCGACCTCCCGCCCGCTCGGTGGCCGGCGGCCGTGCCCGCGCGTGCGGCGCTTCCCCGGCGGCGCGTTTCCGACTCGGCCTGGCCCCGCTCCGGGGCCGGACGCGCAAACTTCGCCCGGCGAGCGGAGGGAGGGACCGGCGAGGGGGAGGAGGCGGCGGGAGGCGCCTCGGCTTAAGGGAGCCGGCCGGGTGCGCCGCGCGGACGGAAGGAAGGAGCGGGGCGGCCGAGCCCGGCCCGGGGATGAGCGCGGCCTCGGGGTGGGCGGCGCGGGCCCGGGGTGGGCGCGGGCGGCGGGGCGCGGGGCGCGGGCGCGGCCGGGGGCCTCGGGGGCGGCGGGGGCGGGCGGGCGGGCGGCCGGGGCCGGTCCCCTCCCCCGAGGGGCCGCCGGCGTCGAAAGCGAAAGCGCGCCCGCCGCGGACTTCGCGCCCGGGGCGGGGGGCGGCGGGCGGGAGCGGCCGGGGGCGCCCGGCGCGGGGGGCGCGGGGGGCGCTGTCAGCGCGCCGGCCCGGCCCGCGGGCCGCGGACGCGGGCGGAACTCGGCGGCGCCTCCTTAACGCGGCCCCGCGCGACTCGGTCCCTTTTTGTTACATTGTAGGAGCGGAAAGAATGTCGGAGCGGGCCGCGGATGACGTCAGGGGGGAGCCGCGCCGGGCGGCGGCGGCGGCGGCGGCGGCGGCGGGCGGAGCAGCGGCCGCGGCCGCCCGGCAGCAGCAGCAGCAGCCGCCGCCGCCGCCGCAGCCCCCGCCGCAGCCCCCGCGGCGCCCCCGGCCCGAGGACGTGGGCCCGGGCGCCGCCTCCGCCTCGGCCGCCGCCGCCATGGCGACTGCCGGGGAGCGCCGGCCCCTGCCCAGCCCCGAGGCGATGCTGGGGCAGCCGTGGGACCTCTGGGCCGAGGCCGCCCGACTTCCCGGGAAGGACGGTGAGTGCCCCCGCCCGCCCCGCCCCGCCCCGCCCCGCCCCGCGACCCCCGGGCGCCCGCGGCCCGGGAGGCGCCGGCCGGCGTGCGAGCGCCGCCCCCCCGGCCGCTGACCTGCCTCCCCGCCCCCTCCCCTGTGCCTGTCTCCTAGGGGCGGAACTGGACGAAAGTTTCAAGGAGTTCGGGAAAAGCCGCGAAGTCACGGGGCTCTGTCGCGAAGGTGAGTCCGCCGCCCCCTCCCCGCCGCTGGGGTGCTCGGCGGCCCCGGGGCAGTTTCCCCGCGGCTCCCCCGGGGCGGGCGGGGACCTCAGCCCACCGGAGCCGCAGCCCCGCCTCCCTCCCGCGAGGATGCTGCTGCCCGTCGAGGAAGAGCGGGAGGACCGACCGCACCTTCACGGCTGGTTTCCGGGAGCCGCTGCGGAGGCCGGCCTGCTGGGGGGCTCGGGGCTCGGGGATCGACTCTGAGCGGAACCCGGATCCCCTCCGCTCTGACCCCCCTGGAGGGGTGGAGGACCAGCGGAGGATGGAAGTAGCTGTTGAAAGCGTTTCCACCCATGTTTCGAGGCATCCCGCGGGGGGTTGCAGGGAGGTGGGAGCGGGGGGGAGGCGTGGAGGGCCGAAGCGGCAGCCTCGTCACTGGAGATTCCTGCTGGCAAGCAAAGCGAAGTTTGAACCTGAAAAAAGGACAGGAGGATGTATGCCGTCTTATTGCGATAAAAGCCAGGGAGTTGAGGATGCGACTTAACCTATGGGATTGTTGCGACCACGGACTGTTGCACGGATTGTGTACGAACTGCTAGTATCAAAGCTGGGCGTGGGGACCGGGGAAGGTCAGAATTTTACATATTGAAACCTTTGATGCTGCTAGCCAGGAAATGGGAGTATGATTTCTTGGTCAGTTTGTAGTGGAACCGTTGAAAGTACTTGAGGGGAAACTCCGTGGCTAAAGAAGTGCCTCCAAGTAAAAGTCAGATTGTATAGGAACTGTCAGATTTTGCCTTTAGATTTCATTTGTCCCTGGATAGCTTCTGTTGTTTAATGTCTGAACCAGTCTTGGACACCCTGTGGTTAGATAGACTTCTAGGGTCCAGTCAACTTCGGATTTCCTTCTAATTACTCTTTTCCGTGGTAGTAAGAAAAAGACCCAGAGCGAAGTTTTGAAGTTTTGATACCTAGAAAGTTTAGTTTGTATCTACCCCCCCCCCCCCTCCAACTTCAGTTGTCAGCGTTTTGGTATGTTTTTGGTTTAAGTGTCTTTTTTGGTAAGGGGTTCAAGAGTAGGTAGAACTTCTATGAGTGGAACATTAAAGTCTAGAGTGGGTCTGTTGTTACTCTCTCCACATGTACTTTGTGTTGCTATTGTCAGTGTTGCTCCGTTTGCTGTTCTAGTTTTTTGAATTGGCCACTTGTTGGCCTCTTGGCACAGAGAGAAAGAGTAATACCAGTGACAGCTCTATAAGAGCTTCCAGTTGGAACAGATTATAGAGCAAATTAGTTGATTTTGAAAATGAGAATTGTTGTTCAAGAGTAAAGGAAAGAGAGGGAAGGCACAGAACTTGCTGGCGATGTTGCAATAGGAAAAATCAGTTGTTAGTCCGGTTTTAGTGCTGAATTGGCAGCCCGCCTGGGCTTAAAAAATTAAAATCACTAGGTGGTAACTCTCCTAGGAAGCAATTGGAGTAGAACTTTAAAGAACCTGATCTGCCCTTGTACTTGCTTTTCATTCTCTTGAGTATGGGTACGTTTTCCATTAAGGATTTCTAACTCTGTGAAACAGGGTGCTAATTATTGGTAATTCCCCTGTAGAGGATGAGTAATTATATTAAGGTTTACTGGCACTTGGTCTGTACCGAGACACATCCAAATTTACTGACCTGGACCCAATTTTTGCTGTATTATTTTCTGCTGGGAAATAGTCATAAGCAGGTTTTTCCATGAAGGTCGCAGACCTCTTAACTACTTAGCACAAAAGGGTCATGATTGGGGTGTGATTCTAGCCTATTCAATTATGAGCGATTGTCTTTGCCCCACACGCACTCCAAACATACACACACATACACTCTTTCTCTCTCTCACATACACTCACTTGCTCGTTCACTTGCTCTAACCATTTGAAGGATGTTTTTCGGAAGATGTCTGTGCCACCAGATTGACGGGGATTATCTGCCCTTTTGCAGTGGTGATTGAAGTTCTTGATTCACTTCTTTATGCATTTTCTGCAGGAGTTTGCAAATCCAGACATGAAAATTTTCCTATCGTGCAGCAGTGGGTCTTTATTATTATGTTATGAGTAGTTCACATGAGACTACTTGAGAAGTGTAAATATGTTTTTAATTTTTTTCAAAAATAATCAAACAGGTATTGTTTATTTTGCATTAGAACTATCTCCTAATAAGAAAAGTATGTTGGAGTTAAATCCATACCAGTTCCTTCATCGGGTTAAATTGAGAGGAATTGTGTAGATAAATTGATGATAGGAATAAAACACTCAAAACACTAAAACACTGTCTTGGACATTATCTCAGAGTATGGTTATGACTGAATTCATTACTATAGACCTGCACTGGAAGTCTGTATGTGAGAATACCGCTTAACTTTCCATCAATTAAACTTCCCAAAATCAGCTTTCACTCTTTGTAAGAGTAGATGATAATAATTTTACAAGATTTTCCAAGTAATACCACTTCCCAGAGTTGTAGGGATCATTACAGTCAATGACGGATAGGAAATGACTTGATACACTTAATTCCTTATAACTGCTAATAATTTCTGTAGAAGTTATGAGTTCCTTATAAAATTCTATAGATCTGATTTTCTAATATTCTATTCATCTATTCTATTGAACTCAAGACTTTCAAATCTTGGACCCTCGAATGGGCTTCTGGAGGTCATGGGTTTCCTGAAATTGTGGACAGAACAGTGTAAGTCTTATTTTCTAGGGCAAGTATTCACAGCTTATCCTAGAGTCTTAAGACTTCGCACATCCCCACCTCACAGAATCAGAATTGCTAAGTTAGGATCCCTGTCTTTTTATCTTTTCTCCTTTTCCCCTTAGAGTTTATTCGGGGCAATTCTCTGCTGACAAACTACCTGATTAATGCCTTAGTGTAGAGTTTGGAACTATTAGGTGAAAGTGATACTATTTGTGGTTTTGCTGGTATATTATCAGTCTGCCTTCTGTTAGGCAAAATGTTATGGCAGAGTTTCAGTTACCTTTTTGTTATTTTCTATCTACATCCTTGTTTGGGAGCAGTGGGATTTGGTTTTCAGCTACACTCAGTGGTGCTTGGGAGCTACTCCCATTCCCTGCTTGGTGCTCAGGACTTGGTCTCCCATAGGCAAACCATGCGCTCCGATCCCTTGAGTCATTTTCTCAGCCCTGTATTCTCCTCTTTTTATTTTTTTTATTATTATTTTTATTTTTGCTTTTTGGGTCACACCCAGCGATGCACAGGGGTTCCTCCTGGTTCATGCACTCAGGAATTACTCCTGGCCGTGCTTGGGGGACCATATGGGATGCTGGGAATCGAACCCGGGTCGGCCGCGTGCAAGGCAAATGCCCTACCCGCTGTGCTATCACTCCAGCCCCTCTCCTCTTCTTATTGCTTTGTTTTTTTTTAAATGTAATTCATTAGTTGACTTATTAGTTGATAACAGTGATTTTGTGATAGAAGGTTGATAATACCTCTAGACTTTTCTCAGATATCTATGGTCCAAAAACAAATTACTTTTTTTCCCAAGGATGACTGGTGAAATTCTAAAGTTAACAAAGTATGTGTAGATAGACTTAATTGGTAGGAATGACAGATTAAAATTTCCATATTAGTGCCTGAACTAATTAGGGAAGGATTATTAAGTCAAGACATCAAATACCTAATTTCATTGCAAATTTTAAAAATACCATTGTGGAATCAACAGAGAAGTTGGAAGAAACAGCATTGTCTTTGGGAAACTATCCCTGATTTCTCCAAAGTCCACTTGTAGTATAGCATCAAAGTACTCCATACTTTCACTACTTCCAAATATTGGCGTGTGGCAGTATGCAGTGCTGCTCAGGAGCGTGAACCCGGTCGGCCTCATCCAAGGCATGTGCGCTACCTGGTCTACTGTTCCTCTGCCCCCAAATACTCTGCTTACAAGCATATGACAGCATACATTATGTGATGATTGTTGCATTAGAGAGTCAGCTCCCAGAAGACAGGCATTGTTAATGGGGATACACACACACACACACACACACACACACACACACACACACACACACACACACACCTACTCCTGCACACATTTGTACTGGTAAATATCTACCACCAAAATGAATGATCTGGGCTACTAGGAAGATAGACTAAGCCACCCAAGGAGGAAGGGTTCAAATGACCAGTTTTCCATTGTATTGTGAATCTTTTAAAAAGGTCCCTATTCCGTGGGGATGTGTCCTTTCTGGCTCCCAGGGATACTAAAGGTTGTCTTTCAGCACTTCGGTTGCTTCCTCCTGAGGCTAGCACTCCATTTACACTTTTCAGAAAGGGTGCAGACAGAACACCACCTCTCTTATCTCTGATATTTAGGCAAGGGAGTAGGATGGCAGCCCAGGGTGATAGCTACACTTGATGACAAGTGATTTCCCTGTTGTAAGATCAGGAACACCATTGAGCCCAGGGCTAGATGGAAAGAGGTTACTTAGTACCTACAGATTGCTAGGTTTAAAGAAAGAAAAGACAGTCTTTGAAGGAAGTGGGTATTCTCAACACAGAGTGAATCCATGTAACAGTCACCTGTTTCTTTCTGGGAAAGAAGGAGTTATTTAATAACTAAAAAGGAATAGTGTATATGAGTGCTGTTGACATAGCTACATTGTAGGAATAAATGCTCCCCTTTTATCCCGATTTTCCTTTCTCCTTCCCTGTTTTGGGAAGCCACACATGATGGTACTCAGAGCTTACTTCTGGCTCTGTGCTCAGCATCACGCTTGGCGGTGCTGGGGGACCATTTGGTGGTGCTCTGGGGGACCATATGTAGTGCCAGAAATTGAATGGGGGGGGGTCACCATGTACAAGGCAAAACCTTACCCTTGTACGCTCTTTGGCTTCCTTCCACCCTTTTCTTATGGATGACTTAATATATACTAGAAGTAGAGAAAACACTTTTAATGCACTCTCTTTATTTTTTTCCTTTGTTTTGTTTTAATGAGCTTTCTTATATCCACCAAATAGTTTAAAC